ATACTCCGTGCCTCAGTTTCCTCACATGATGGAATTAACAGTCTGTCCCTGGGCCTAGCCAAAGTAAACAGCTTGTAACACTTTGGCTACCATGTGCCTCTGCAGCATAGCATTACAGAAGCCCAGGTTGGGCCACCAGGCTAGGGCCCCAGCATTAACCAGACCTTCAATTCCTTCCCTTCTCTCTTCTTCTATAAAATAGAGATGGTAATGGCTACCCGCACTGCTGAGAGCTGATTCTGAGCCAGGCAATGCTGTAATTACGACTACTTCCAAACAAGAAAGCAAGAAAGAACACTGTGTAGCCCAGTAAAGGCTGATATCGTTCAAACAGCACAAAACCACACTCTCCAGAAATGGACCCTGGGAAATTTCTCAAGCCACCTACCCCATCAGTACCCCTGGGATGTCTACCTTGGCTAGGCCAGGGATGGGTGGGCAAACTAGGACCCATGGGCCAAATCCACTCGGCCACCTGTTTTTGTATCTCCCACAAGCTAAGAGTGGTTTTAACTTTTTAAATTGTTTTTTGTTTTGTTTTGTTTGTTTGTTTGTTTTGAAAGGAAGTCTCGCTCTGTCTCCCAGGCTGGAGTGCAGCAGCACGATCTCAGCTCAGTGCTACTTCCGCCTCCCAGGTTCAAGTGATTCTCCTGCCTCAGCCTCCCGAGTAGCTGGGACTACAGGTGTGCGCCACCATGCTCATTTTTTTGTATTTTTATTAGAGACAGGTTGTAATTTTATTACCATGTTGGCGAGGCTGTTCTTGAACTCCTGATCTCAGGGCGATCCGCCCACCTTGGCCTCCCAAAGAGCTGGGACCACAGGCGTGAGCCACCACACCCAGCCTTAAATTGTTTTTTATAGAGACATGGTGTCCCTCTGTTGCCAGGGCTACAGTACAGTGGCGCAAAAATAGTTCAGTGCAGCCTCAAACTCCTGGGCTCAAGTGATCCTCCCACCTCAGCCTCCTGAGTAGCTGGGACTGCAGGTGTGCACCACCATGCCCACCTAATTGTTTTATTTTTGTAGAGACGGGGTTTCATCATGTTTCCCAGACTGGTCTCAAACTCCTCAAGCAACCCTCCTGTCTTGGCCTCCTAAAGTGCTGGGACTATAGACATAAGTCACCGTGCCTAGGCAACATTTTTAAATCATCAAAAAAAAAAAAAAAGAAAAGAAAAGAAATCAAAAGAATCCTGTTTCGTGACACATAAAAATTATATGAACTTTGAATTTCCCCATCCATAAATAATAACCGATTGAAACACAGCCAGGCCTGTTCCATTACATAACTATGGCTTCTGGTGCAGGAAGCAGCAGAGCTGAGTAGTTATAACAGAGACCACATGGCCACAAAGCCAAAACTATTTACTGTCTGACCGTTTACAACAGCAGTCTGCTGACCCCGGGCTAGGCACGAGTTTTCGACCCTGACATGATGAACTTTATCAGATTCCGATGCTGGGGTCCCACCAGCATCTCTAGTGGGTAGAGGTGGGGTACCTGGCATCTAGATTTTTCAAAATCCCCCCACCAGGAAATTCTAACATGTAGCCAAGAACGAAAACCCCTTATAGGTCTACAGCCAATATTTGCATGCAGGCAGCTGGCCTTTCAGAGCAGAATTGCATGGCAGTGAAATGGGACTCATTAAAAAACCAATTCTGCCTCCTCATCCCCAACTTTATTTCAAGCCCTTCTGCACTCTGATCCACACTCATTTCTCTATTCTCTGAACTGTGACCCCGTTCTCATGCCATGGAAAATCAGTCATCATTTGCGACCTCACCTACTTAGGAGTTCTGGCTTCTTAGATGGCCCAAGCCTTCAGGACAAGATCCCAAATGTCTCCCAACTCCAGAGGGCTCTTTTGTAACTGAACTCTGTGTTACTTATTAGTTTGCATCAATGTTTACGCTGACTCAGGGCAGTACTCAAGATCAGCAACTTCCACACAGAGTCTCAACGAACCAAGAGAGCTGGGCATGGTGGTTCATGCCTGTAATCCCAGCACTTTGGGATTTGTGAGGATTGCTTAGCTCAAGAGTTCAAGACCAGCCTGGGAAACATGGTGAAACCCTGTCTCTCTAAAAAATACAAAAGTTAGCTGGGTGTGGTGGCGCATGCCTGCGGTCCCGCTACTTAGAAGGCTGAGGTGGGAGGACTGCTTGAGCCCAGAGGCTGAAGCTGTAATGAGCCGTGATCATGCCACTGTATTCCAGTCTGGGCAACAGAGCAAGACACTGTCTCTAGTAATAATAACAACAACAACAATAATAATAATAATAATGAACTCCAGAGAGGCCTATGAGGGCTAGTCGCTTGGACGGATGGGGAAACTGAAGTTCCAAGGCTTGATGGTACCTGCTCCAGAAGATCACACAGCTTGGTGGCAAAGCTGGATCATCCAAATCCATCTTTTTAGCCACTCTAAGCTAAGAGAGGAACGACGCAGTCCCCCAACAAAGTATGTCCATATTATTATAAATAGGGTGACCCCATGTCCTGGACTTGCTGGGACAATTCCAAATTCCTGTGAGGTTTTTTGTTTGTTTGTTTTTTTCATTAAAGTGGTTTGAGAAAGGGTACAACAGCCTCCACTGAGTGCCCCACAGTGGCATTTTGAAGATGGCATGAGACCACACCTACAAAGTACTGGCACACTTAAAGCACCCCATGAATGGTAGTGGCTATTACTGTTGTACCCATCAGCTTTGAATTGGAGTTACTGAGAAGACATCTGCCTTCCCCAATGGAACCCAAGTTCCTGGAGGGCGGAGGTCATGGTTTCCAAACATTTTTGTGACCCTTCCTGCTACCAGATGCAGGCCTTATGCATGGGAGGTATGCATGAATGTTTATGGACCACGTAAACATATCCTAAGAAAATAAAGGATGGAGGCAGAGATTCAGCTACGAGGGTATTCCTCACTGTGCTGTTGATAATAGCAAAAAAAATAAATAAATAAAAGGAGAAACAGCCTGAATATCCACTACTTATAGGGGATTACTCATACTTTTTTCTAAGAGACAGGGTCTTGCTCTGTTGCCCAGGCTGGAGTGCAGTAGCACAATCATTGCTCACTACAGCCTTGATCTCCCAGGCTCAAGCAATCCTCTTCCCTTAGTCTTTCGAGTAGCTGAAACTACAGACATGCATCACCATCCTCAGCTAATTTTCTTTTTTTTTTTTAGTAGAGATGGGGGTCTCATATGTTGCCCAAACTGGTCTCGAACTCCCTAGTTCAAGCAATCCTCCTGCCTTGGCCTCCCAAAGTGCTGGGATTACAGGCATGAGCCACCACACTTGACCACATTTTTTTTCAGAGATGGGGTCTTGCTATGTTGCCCAGGCTAGAGTGCAATGGCTATTCACAGGAACGATCATAGCACACTGCAGCCTCCAACTCCTAGGCAAAAGCATCCTCCCTCCTCAGCCTCCTGAGTATTTGGGACTACAGGCTTGCACCACCCTGCCTGGCCAGGACTATTCATACATTTTAAGGCGCACCCATTTAAAGGAACACTATGGATCCAGTAAAAGTGTGTTGTAGGCAGGGATTGGCAAACATTGTCTGTCAAGGGTCAGAGAGTAAATACTTTAGATCTGGTCAGTCTCTGTCCCACCACTCAAATCCTCCAGTGAGGCACAAAAGCAGCCATAAACTAGGCATAAATAATAAATCAATGAGCTTGGCTGCATTCCAATAAAACTTTATTTGTAGACACTGAAATTTGAATTTCATGTAATTTTCACGTGTCACAAAACAATCTTCTTCTTTTGACTTTTTTTTCAATAACTTAAACATGAAAAAACCATTCTCTGCTTGCAGGCCATAACAAAACAGGCAGCAGGTCATAGTTTGCCAAGCCCTGTGTTAGAAAAATACTTAATGTTGAATGAAAAAGTGAGTTACAGAATGTTCTGCATGATTCAAGTTTATAAGTTAAAACATATCTGCACAGGAAAAAAAAGCTGAAGAACATACAACTGTTAACAAACATCACAGGGGTGGAATTACGGGTGATTTTGTTCCTCTTTTTTGCTTATCTATAATTTTCTGAATTGTCAACCACAGACAATCACTTTGGTAATTTTTTTTAAGTGCAATAAAATGAAGACAAAAAAGAAAAGAAACAAAACCAAGTAGGTAGAGCTACAAAGCACTCAGGTACTGAGATGCCTACGCTAATCTGCTCAGAAAATGACCCTAAATGAGATGCCTGCTCAAGTTTGTGTCGATTCGCCCGGGCTTCAGCTTCAAAAAGACCGCCTTCCACAACCATCAGCCTTCTGGAGGCCAAGGAAAGAAAGCGGGTAAGGGGTGACCCTGTCCATGAGCTGATCTTTAGGTACCTGTGTGCTCCGAAGCACCCTCCTCCAAGCAACGTCATCCCCAAGTCCAGCCTCCTTCCTCCCCTCCCGCCAAGGCCAGCTGGAGTTTCCAAGGCAGGCACCATCTCCCCAGCAGCCAACTCAAGCCCGTGTTTCTTTGGATAGGGGTGGGGGTAAAGGGGGTGGTGCTAAGAGGACATACAGCTTGACTTCAAGGAGAGGGAAGACTGCATAAGTTTGTAAAAGATCATGGTCATTCCAATTGCAGGCTTACTTACTTTACTTCGCGATCAGGGAAACAGACCTTGCACTTGGCAGGACTCATGTTGACCACCCCGCCAGCCAATCCCACCGGGCTCCCGCAGGGGTGCAGAGCATGCACCCCTTAACCGCCTGAAGCCGGCCCGAGGCCCAGGACCCAGCAGGACAGCCAGTTCGCGACCCGGAGGCCGAGATGCGGTCCTAGAGCGCCGCGGGCGGAGTTCTGCTGCAGCCGGCGGGCACCCAACTTCGCGCTGCGCTTGCTCCATCCCGAAATGCGCCGTGCGCGCCAGAGTCCCGGGCCTACGCGCCCGCCCAGGCCCCGCCCCCACACCGACCCCGCCCCAGGAAGGCCCCTCCTTCCGGACAGAGCCCCGCCCCCGGGCCGGCCTATCTCCGACCAGCCGCTGACCTTGGGCAGCCTAAGTGAGCTGCGGAGATATTTTTTTTTAAAGTCTCTCTTCTGCTTTGCTCCCCAGCTCCTCGACTGCAGAAGAGTTCTAGGGTGGCACACCCCTACATATTGGCGGCAATTGATATGCTTGAATACACACACGATAGGGAAGCGGTGGAAAATATGGGAAATTTAAAATGTGAGTCAGAGGTCGCCACTGTGCCCGTTTAAAGTCCCTGTTGTCAAGTCGACTTTTATTTTCCAAATTCCTGGTTTCTCTCATCTTTTCACCTCCACTCCCAGGGACAGGTGGCCGCGCGATCACCCAGTGTGCTTCTAGCACGCAGTTTCCACCACTTGGGTCCGCTACTAAAGCGAGTGCCTCCAGGACAGGGAAGACCCCAGCAGCCCGGTGGCGAAATAAACTGGTAAGACTAACATTTACTAAGTGCTCCTTTGTTCCTCTGTGTCACTTAATCCTCATGGCAATCTTATTGTTTTTATCCCCATAATACAGATAAGGAAACTGAGGCCCAGAGATGCATGTTATCTGAAGTGCCAGAGCCCAGGGTCTTGAACTCAAACTGATTCCAGTTAGAATAAATGAATGAGGCCGGGCCTGGTAGCTCATGCCTGTAATCCCAGAACTTTGGGAGGCTGAGGCAGGCAGATTACTTGAGATCAGGAGTTTGAGACCAGCCTGGCCAACATGGTGACACCCTGTCTCTACTAATAATACAAACATTAGCCGGGCATGGTGGTGCACACCTGTAGTCCCAGCTACTCAAGAGGCTGAGGAGAATCACTTAAACCCAGGAGGCGGAGGTTGAAGTGAGCCCAGATGGCGGTACTGCATTCCAGCCTGCGTGACAGAGTGAGACTCCATCTCAAAAAATAAAAAATAAACGAATGAATGCTTCTTCAAGTAATATTATAATAAATACAAAGAACCAAAACACTACCTAGAAGTCATCGCAATAATAATAAAGGTAGCCTACTTTCATAGCAAACAAACCAAAAATAATGTAAATGCCGGCCAGTAAATTCTCTTCCGGGTAATCACTCTGTGGTTCTCCCAGTGTACACGTTAATTAAATTTGTGTGCCTTTTCTCCAACTAATCTGCCTTTTACAAGTTAATTTTTCAGTGAAACTTCAGAGGGCAAAGCAGAAGTTTTTCCCTTGGTCCATACAATCATTATGCATTCTATGCATGTAACAAAATTTTACATGTATCCTATAAATGTGTAAAAATATAATGTATCAGAATTATAAAAACAGGCCGGGCACGGTGGCTCATGCCTGTAATCCAAGCATTTTGGGAGGCCGAGGTGGGCAGATCACTTGAGGTCAGGAGTTCAAGACCAGCTTGGCCAATATGGTGAAACTCCATCTCTACTAAAACTACAAAAATTAGCTGGGTGTGGTGGCGAGGTGGCCTGAACTCCCAGCTACTCCGGAGGCTGCGGCAGGAGAATCACCTGAACCCAAGAGGCAGAGGTTTCAGTGAGCTGAGATCAGGCCACTGCATTCCAGCCTCGGCAACATTGCAAGACTGTCTCAAAACAAACACACAAACAAAAACATAAGAACAAATTTTAAAATACAATTAAATTCACTTCACAGGCAGGCCATGTGCAGTGGCTCATGCCTATAATCCCAGCACTTTGGGAGGCCAAGGCAGGCAGATCACTTGACGCCAGCAGTTCAAGACCAACCTGGCCGACCTAGTGAAACCCCATCTCTACTAAAAATATAAAAATTAGCCTCCAAGGTGATATATACCTATAATTCCAGCTACTCAGGAGGCTGAGGCGGGAGGATTACCTGAGCCCAGGTAGCCAAGGCTGCAGTGAGCCATGATCTCGCTGCACTCCAGCCTGGGCAATAGAGTGAGACCCTTTCTCAAAAAAAAAGAAAAGAAAAGAAAAGGCACAGGCAGGGCCACACTTCCAGGGGGTACCAAGTACTTGGCCAGAACATAAACACCCTTGGCCCTTGTTTAAGCAGCCATGCCTGACAGCAGTGGATAGCTACGCTCTAACCATATATTAAATAACATTTCAACAACAGGTTTAAGAAAAAAAAAACAGATAAACAAAATTCTCAGTTCTTCAAGTTTCTGGGAAAGTGTTCACAGCCTTGTTTTCACCTCCTCCAAAAAAGTAACCCACTATATCCCGATTTTTAGAGTTTCAAACCAAAACCAACAAGTGTTTGCCCCCCTAATGTCCCCAGTGTAAATGTAACCACCTCAAAATAGGGAAAGCAATGAAAATCAAGAAATGAAGCTATTTCAAAATACCCCAACCCTACCCAAAGTCAGTTAGGATCATGCAGAAGAGAACGGCTTGCCAGCATACTTGTATTGCTCTAGATTTTTATTCTCTATTGCAAAAACCCCGACACTACTTAAACACTGTATAGATATTCTTACTTCTCTGCTAATACAGCCTGAAAGACAGCCTCACGCATCTCACTATGACCCAGGGTCTCAAATAAGGGATTTCACTTAGATGGGTGGGCTCGTCATTTCATCATAGTGATCATGACCTTGCATTTTTCTCTAATTGCATTATTAGGGAATAGAAGATGGAAAGAAATGAATAATATTCAGTTGGTACAAAACTAATTGCAGTTTCTGCCATCCATTAAAAGGGATTGCGAAAGCCACGATTACTTTTGCACCAACCTAATATCCACCTCCAAGCACACCACCACCTTTATACAAACATCCGTAGTTGTGCTTTTTGATGAAACAGTTCAAGCATGGCAGTAGTTGCTGTCTCATGCATTAAGCCCTTCCTCTCAGACTTCCTAGAGGCTCAATTTTACTTGCTGGTATTGCAGAGGGAAAACCCAGGTCAATGAACAATACACACACAAAATCAACAAGAAAATCCGTATGCACATGACCAACAGCATGGTGGAAAGACCGTGCCATCTATGGGCTTGAATTTATCCTTCCCCTCACGGATGGCCTTAAGTAAATCCCTTCTCTCCACTTCCTCATCTATAAAATTATCCACATATAATTTGCCTTCATTTTTGCAGAAAAGCAAAATGAAATAATCCCTTTCAATATATGGGTGGGGGAACTGTTACATTAAGTATAGACCAGAAGTGAATGATTTTTCTAAAAAAGGGCAGTGATGCTTAAGGGGGAGGGGAATGTATGAATGGTTAGTTGCTCTGTACCTTGTATTAACTTAATACAAGAACAACTCAAAGACAGGGATCCTCTTTCCCCCAAGCTCCTAGAAAACATTTTAGGAGGCCGGGCGCAGTGGCTCACGCCTGTAATCCCAGCCCTTTGGGAGGCCAAGGAGGGCAGATCACGAGGTCAGGAGTTCAAGACCAGCCTGGACAACATGGTGAAACCCTGTCTGTATTAAAAATACAAAAATTAGCTGGGCATGGTGGTGCGTGCCTATAATCCCAGCTACTCAGGAGGCTGAGGCAGGAGAATTGCTTGAACCGGGATCCGCGAGGCGGAGGTTGCAGTGAACTGAGATTGCATCACTGTACTCCAGCCTGAGCTACAGAGCGAAACTCCATCTCAAAAAAAAAAAGAAAAAGAAAAAGAAAACATTTTAGGAGCTAAAGAGACTTGAAAAGAGAGTTTCTGCCAGCCCCTTCCTAAGTCAATAAATGAATAAATTAAACATTATGGAAAGATCCTTGGCATTTCACTCAGGGGCACATAAAAATATTTATAGACAATTTAGTTTCCTGACTTGCTCCCAGCTTGGAGCTGATAAGAGGTGTGGGCTGGGATGATAAACAAGCAGCTGGGAGGCTGCACTGCAAGCCCACCCAGTCTGCTATCTGGGAAAGTGGAGATGCCAGGTCCCTGGTATCCGCTCCCTTTCCTGGTATTCCTTCACCTACCTTCGCCTGCAGGCCCCGCGCTGCATGTCCAGACCCCACAGAGCGTCATTCGCCTTCCTGGGATCCGAGGTCTGCCTTGCTAAACTGTTCTTACCTCAGTGATCCCAACATGGTCGTAAACGGTGGCAGGAAGGGACGCTTCAGCACTCATCTGCTGTTTTGGACTTTATCCTTTTATCGGGACACTTTACCTGCCTTTTCAATCCTCTTCCTCCTCCGTGGACACAGGTTACTACACCTTCAAGGTGTAAGCCCAGCCAGGGCTTGGGAATAACCATGAGCAAAGGCAAGAACTTTGGAGGAAGCCCACCCAACTAATGGCTACTGAACCACCTCTGGGCCATCCACCCCCAGCACTTGCTCCCACTCGATCTCAACAATCTTCTACGATAGGCATTAGTATTATCCTGCCTCAACAGAGCAGGAAATTGCAGCTCAGAGAGGTAATAGGAGAGCTCTGAATCCAGACCTAATTGTGGGTCCTGGGCCCTTATGCCGTGCACTGGATCTAATGACCATGATTGCACCATGGGTGCTGCTTTGAGTGTTGTGCTCACGGCAAGTCAATAAAGCCTGATCCCAACCCTGTGAGGGAGGTAACACTATGACTTCATTTTAGAGGAAACGGAGGCACAGAAAGTCACAGAACTTCCCCCAAGTCACATGATGGCTAGGTGGAGAAGCCAGCATACCAGCCTCCAGCCTCAGCCACCAGCATGTTGTGCTCTTAACTACTCCACAACTCTCTGTAAAAATGGTGGGGAATGCCCTGGCCTGTGGGCTCTCAGACCCCTTGCCCTGGCCTCCCTAAGGACAGAGGCTGTATCTCACCATCTTTGCATCTGCAGTGCCAACTGAGTGCCTGGCACCCAGCAGGGTCGCAATAACTGCTCCTGGGCCAACAAATGGATGGGACAAACCTTGGCTTCCCCACCCACCATTTCATCCCTTAGTGTGTCCTCTCTCTTGCCTAGAACCCAGACCACCTGCGGTCATTTACCAGGGAGAAAATGGTTCTAAATTAACAATTTTTTTAAGAGAGATAGGGTCTTGCCCCTTTGCTCAGGCTGGGGTACATTGGCACAATCATAGCCCACTGAAGCCTCGAACTCCTGGGCTCAAACGATCCTCCTGCTTCAGCCTGCCTGAAATTAACAAACTTTTCCCCCATTTTCCAGCTACTCTCCTTCTCTATCTCCCAGCCTCCTCCCTGCTGTCCATTCCTCCACATATAAAGGAACAAAGCCACCAACTGTTAGAGCCACAAAAAACCTCAGAGTGTCCAGTCTGGCCCCTGAGAAGGTAGATGATGTCCTCAAGCTCATACAACTTAAAGGTTGTCCATAAACTATCAATCTCCCAACCCTTCCCACTAATAGAAAGAACAAGTTAGGAGGAGGCCAGAGGTGCCCATCCTGGAACCCAAGCCTCTTGCCCCCTGGGGGAAGGTTAGGCAGTGACACTAATACCAGCAGTTGGTTGACTGATTTCACATCCACATCTAACGAGGGTCTGGGTTCAAATGGTGCTCTGGGCCTCTGATTATCTTGCTGGGAGGCCTGGAATCTCTCTGGGCTTCAGCTTCCTTTCTAGGAAGTGAGATGATTGGTTTACTCGTTCCCACAATTTTTATACTGTTTTATTATTATTGTTAAAATGCATTATAAAATGATATTTAGAGCAGAAAGTTAGAAAATGTGGAAGAAAATTTAAATCACTCATAATCATACCACATAAACATGATTATTTACTATTTG